TCTGCACCTCACAGCACAGCGCCCCCTACTTTGCCCTCTGCTTTGCACCTCACAGAACAGCACCCCCTGTTGTGTCCCCTTTTCTGCACCTCACAGCACGGCACCCCCTGCTGTGTCCCCTTTTCTGCACCTCACAGCACAGCGCCCCCTGCTGTGTCCCCTGCTCTGTACCTCACAGCACAGCGCCCTCTACTGTGCCCCATCGCATCTCTCAGCAGCATGGTACTCCCACTTCCCTTGCATTTCAGCAGAGAGGGGGGCACAGACATAGAGTTCAGTACAGACTAAGGGCTAGCAGGTCCATTCTGCCCTCCTGCTCTGCCATCCTGTCAAGCTGTGGCTGCAGAACCTCCCCGGGGATAGAATCATAGAATCATAGAACTGGAAGGGATCTCGAGAGGTCATCGAGTCCAGCCTCCCGCCCTCAAGGCAGGACCAAGCTCCATCTACACCATCCCTGACAGATGTCTATCTAACCTGTTCTTAAATATCTCCAGAGAGGGAGATTCCACCACCTCCCTTGGCAATTTATTCCAATATTTGACCAACCTGACAGTTAGGAATTTTTTCCTAATGTCCAATCTAAACCTCCCCTGCTGCACTTTAAGCCCATTACTCCTTGTCCTGTCCTTGTCCCAACCTCCAGCCCAGATCTGGGGGTCACGCTAGAACACAGCTTTCAGAGTGAAGCGCCCCATCTTCATGGAAAGTCTGCGAAGGATGAAACTCTGCCCTGACCAGAGCAGTCATTCCAAGGGTTGGTTCCCCCAGCTCCAGAGGAAAGTTACCCTGCGTTTGCACCCTGGGTTTGTGTAGCTTCCCCTCACTCTGCCCTGGCCTGCTGGCATCACCAGTTCCCTGTACTGAACAATCTGCTCCCCTGGGAGGAGCTGATGGACTAGGCCAGATCCCCTCCTGGCATTCTCTGGAGAAACTGAGCAGAGTGAGCAACTTAGGGCTTCCTGTCTAAATACTGTTTGTATGATAGCTACATAGATAGAGTGTGTCTATGGGGATAGATAGATAGATAGATAGATAGATAGATAGATAGATAGATAGATAGATAGATAGATAGATAGATAGATAGATAGATAGATAGATAGATAGATAGATAGATAGATAGATAGATAGATAGATAGATAGATAGATAGATAGATAGATAGATAGATAGATAGATAGATAGATAGATAGATAGATAGATAGATAGATAGATAGATAGATAGATAGATAGATAGATAGATAGATAGATAGATAGATAGATAGATAGATAGATAGATAGATAGATAGATAGATAGATAGATAGATAGATAGATAGATAGATAGATAGATAGATAGATAGATAGATAGATAGATAGATAGATAGATAGATAGATAGATAGATAGATAGATAGATAGATAGATAGATAGATAGATAGATAGATAGATAGATAGATAGATAGATAGATAGATAGATAGATAGATAGATAGATAGATAGATAGATAGATAGATAGATAGATAGATAGATAGATAGATAGATAGATAGATAGATAGATAGATAGATAGATAGATAGATAGTGTCTATGGGCAGGGATGGTAGAAAGCTCTGTGTGGCACCCTGTCACTGGCTGCCTGTAACTCATGTGCTGTGGGGTTGGCAGCGGGTTCAGCCCTGCCGTACGTACATAGAGGAAGTGATGGTCCTTGCCATAAAAGGTGAAGCTCATGGAGATGGGGATCTCCGGTGATGCCCCGTCGTCGGCTTTGGGATTCTGCCGGTCACTCTGGGCTGGGCCATAGGGATACAGCAGGGACTCTGTGGTAAGGACAATGTGTCTTGTGAGAGCTCAGAGTGGCTCCTCCCCCATCAGGTACCAATGGCCTCCAGACAGCCACCTCACATCTCATCCCAACCTGATGCCCTTTGGGATTGGTGATGTTCCTGAACAATATCAGGAGCTGCTCTGGGAGAGCTCCCCATCGGTCTTTGTATTCCAGAGCCACACTGAAACAAACCAAATCCTCCTGATCCTCCCCCAATCCTCCCCATCCCAAATATAGCCCCCAACCTGATCCCCACCCCAATTCTCCACCCACCCCAATACAGACCTCTACTCCAATCCCCACCCCAATTCACCCTGATTCTGCATCCCAGACCATGTACAGACCAATTCTCCAACCCCAACACAGAGCCTGACCCACACTGCTAATTCAGGCCCCTACCCTGATCCTCACAGAGAGCTACCAATTTTCTAAGTGAAGAAAACTGAATACCTTTGGCCCACGCCTTCTCTGTACCTTCATTAAGGGTTTGCCCCCCTCCCCAACGCCCTGCTCCCCACCCATTCCAGACGCCTTTCCCTCCATCAGTCCATCTTTCCTGTCCACCCTCACTTGCTTTTTCTGGGCCAAGGCAGCTCCTGGTTAGTGGCACAGTAGGGAGGGAGGGGGTAAGGGCTTTATCTAGGCACTCTGGGGGGTGGGAACAAGGGATCTGGGGTACAGGAAGGGGCTCTGGACTGAGTCAGGGAGTTGGGGTGCTGGAAGTGGTGTGGGGTATAGGCTCCAGGAGGGAATCTGGGTGACTGGTGAGAGGTGGGAATGAGGGAGGGTGGATATGAGCGATTTGGGATACAGGAAGGTGCTCTGGACTGGGACAAGGGGTTGGGGTGCTGGAAGGGGTACAGGCTCTGAGAGGGAGTTTGGGTGTGGGGAGGTTCTGACCTGGCCAGTGGTTTGGAATGTAGGGTTAGGAAGGGAGTTAGGATGCAAGGGGGGTGGGGGGGAAAGGATTCTGACCTGGGCATGAGTTTTGGCATGCGGGGTTTGGAAGGGAGTTAGGATGTGGGGGTGTTCTGATCTGGATATTGGGTTGGGTTGTGGACTTTGGAAGGGAGTTAGGGTGCAGAGGTTTTGATTTAGGCAGTAGATCAGGGTGTGGGGTGTGGAAGGGAGTTAGAGTGCAGGGGGTTCTAATCTGAGCGGTGGGTTGGGGTGTGAGGTGTGGAAGGGAGTTAGGGTGTGTGTGGGGGTCTGATCTGGGTGGTGGGTTGAGGTGTGGGTGTGGAAGGGAGTTAGGGTGTGTGGGGCGCTTCTGACCTAGGCAGGAGGTTCAGGGTGCGAGTTCTAGCCAGGCGGCACTCGTCTCAGGCAGCCCCCATTCAGTGGTGCAGGGGGGGTAAGGCAGGCTCCCTGCCTGCTCTGGCTCTGTGCTGCTCCCAGAAATTCCCAGCATGTCTCTTTTCTAGGTGGGGGCATTGCCAGCAGCCTCCCCTGAAGTTCCCATTGGCCATGGCTTCTGGCCAATGGGAGCTGCAGAGTGGGCACTGGGGGCAGGGGCAATACATGGAGCTTCTGTGGTCCTCCCCGCCCCCGCCATGCCTGGGGACCAAACAGTCTGGGAAACTGCACAAAGCCAGGACTGGCAGGGAGCCCATCCTGATTCTTCACCCACCCCTCTAGAACAGGCCCCTGATCCCTGTGTAACCAGCAGTAAAACCTCCACCCTGATCAACCTCCCTCAACACACTCCCTGCCTGGGTCTGCAGCCCATTGCTAATGCAGCCCCCACCCAACTGCTCTTCACCGCCCAGCTAATAAGGTCGCCCCTCCCATCCTGATCAGTTCCTACCTTCCACCATCTCCACAGGGGTGGGCAGCACTGACCCTGCAGAGGGGAGGGAACAGACTGTCAGCCGCAAGGCGCATGGACCCCAGCCCCCAGCCCCATGAGCCCAAGCCCAGCGCTGGCCGGACGTTTACTCACCCAGCAGCAGCAGCAGCAGGAAAGCGAGGGGGGATTTCATCTTGCTCAGACTTCGACGGGGACCCGCTGGGTCGAGATGGGCAAATGCAGCAGCAGCAGGACTGCGGGGCCAGGAGAGGGGGTGAGGGAAGGTACCAGCATGTCCAACGGGATCTAGTGACCTACCCCCATGCACACCCACTGCCTGTGTCTGTCACACCCATCGATCCCTCCCCATTCACCCCCCCATGCACACCCCACTGCCTGTGTCTGTAACAGTCATCAATCCATCCCCATTCACCTTCCTTGCCCCATGCACACCCCACCACTTGTGTCTGTAACAGTCATCCATCCCTTCCCATTCACCTCTCCTGTTTTTCTGTCTCTCTGTTCCACCATACAAGGGTTGCCACTTCTCCAGAATGGTCCAGGATTGTCCCTTCTCTGCTGTGGCCTTGTGGGAAGTGCAGTGGGGTGTTCTCATAGACTCATAGACTTTAAGGTCAGAAAAGACCATTATGATCATCTAGTCTGACCCTCTGCACAGTACAGGCCACAGAATCTCACCCTCCCCTCCTAGAATAATCCTCTCACCTATATCTCAGATATTGAAGCCTTCAAATACTTTGAAGACCCCAAGATACCCCCCCATGCACACCCCACTGCCTGTGTCTGTAACACCCATCGATCCCTCCTCGTTCACCGCCATGCACACCCCACTGCCTGTGTCTGTAAGACCCATCGATCCCTCTCCGTTCAACCCCCATGCACGCCCCACTGCCTGTGTCTGTAACACCCATCAATCCCTCTCCATTCAACCCCCATGCACGCCCCACTACCTGTGTCTGTAACACCCTTCGATACCTCCCCATTCACCATCATCCCTATTTCCCCTCTTCCCCACAACCATGTCTCTCTTCCACCACACAAAACTATGTCTAAACTGCAGGCTTCTTTCAGAAGAAGCTTTTCTGGAAGAGGTCTTCCAGAAAAACTTCATTTGAAAAAGTGAGTCTACACAGCAAAAGCAGAACAAAAAAGTGATCTGCTTTTTCAAAAGATAGCGTTCACACTGAATGGACGCTATCTCACATTTATGTTCTGATTGCTGTGGGTGGAGTGGAACGAGGAGTACAGATAGTTCAGAATGGCTACGTAGTTCGAACTATCTAGCCCGTGCTGCGTGTAGCCGCGTGGCACGGGGTTCGCACTAGCCGGCTTTTAAAAATGGCGGCGCCGGCTTTATGCTAATGAAGCCCGGGAAATTCAAATCCCGGGCTTCATTAGCAAGTTTGGTATGCATACATTACCCCGCTAGTTCGAACTAGCGGGGTAGTGTAGACATACCCTTTGTGTCTCTCAAACTTGACAAAGCCTTGATGGTTGACCACGGCTATGTCAGGTAGCCTCTCGTGCCTCCGTTTCACCACATGAGAAGTAACAGTCTTCTCTGTGGCTGGCTTTTCAGGGGCAGCGCCTGCCACAACAGGGCCCTGATCTCGGTTGGGGTCTGGGCTGTGCCCAGCACAAAGGGGGCCTGATCTCAGCCAGAGTCTGTGCAGCTTCCAGCACAGCAGGGCCCTGCTCTTGGCTGGACGCCGGTCAGTGCCGGGCACAATGTTGCCCTGATCTCTGCCAGCTGCCCCTGGGATACAAGGCACTCACCGGCTGGGCTCCGCCTGCTCAGTGTCTCGGACGCGCCCGGGAGAATGAAACTCCCCAGCCTGCTGCTTCTCTTTATCTCACCTGGCCAGGGCTGGGAACCAGGAGCCCCCGCCTCCCTCCCTCCCTTCCCATGTGATTCTGGCAGCAGCCCAGCTCTTGCTGCTGTTGCACGCGCTCGTGTGTGTGTGTCTGTGTGCGCATGCATGTCCATATGTGTATGTACGTGTGTGTGTGTTTATGTATGTGTCCATATGCGGGTGTGTGTGTGTCCACATGTGTATGTACATGTGCATGTACGTATCTGTGCATATATGCATATGTATGTGTGTGTGTATTAAAGATGTTGAGAAGCAGGTAATTGGCTAATTGTGTAGTCGATATAATTTATATCGAGTATAGGATTAGTCCTTTTATCCAATCCATGCTTCCTTAATTTGGTCCCTCACCAAAGTAAGCTGTCATGGCATAATAGGGAAGGTCCTCTCTTTGCATGGGATGTCCTTTTATCCAATCCATGCTTCCTTAATTTGGTCCCTCACCAAAGTAAGCTGTCATGGCATAATAGGGAAGGTCCTCTCTTTGCATGGGATGGGAAAGAAAGGATAGGAATAAATGGTCAGTTTTTAGAATGGAGCAAGGTAAATAGTGGTATTCCCTAGGGGTCTGTACTGGGACAATTTCTATTCAACATATTAATAAATGATCTGGAGAAAGATTTAACCAGTGAAATGGCAAAATTTGCAGATGATACAAAATTGCTCAAGATACTTATGTCCCAGGCAGACTGCAAACAGCTACAAAAAAATCACTGAAAACTAGGTGACTGGACAACAGAACAGCTGATGAAATTCAGTGTTGATATATTAAAGGTAATGCAGATTGGCAAACATAATCCCAACTATACATATAAAATGATGGGGATTCAATTAAGCTGTTACCACTCAGAAGAAAGATCTTAGAGTCATTTCCTGAAAACATCCACTCAATGTACAGCAGCAGTTAATAAGCAAACAGAATGTTGGGACTCATTAAGAAAAGGAGAGAATAAATCAAAATATATTGCCTCTTAAATCCATGGTATGCCCATGGCTGGAATATTGCATGTAGACGTGGTCGCTCCATCTTAAAAATATATTGAAATTGAAAAAGTTTCAGAAAAGGGCAACAAAATGGTTAGGGGTATGGAGGAGAGACTAACAAGACTGGGACTTTTCAGTTTGGGAAAGAGACGACTAAGGCAGTAACTGAGGTGTATGAAACCAGGGCTGCTGAGAAAGTGAATAGGAAGTGTTATTTCCTTACATATGTGGAACTCTTGCTACAGGATGTTGTAAAAGAGTTCAAAAAAGACCCTGATCAGTTTGTGGAGGAGAGGTCCATCCCTGTTCTTTCTCTCTAGGGCAGCTGGCATTGGCCACTGTTGGAAAACAGGCTACTGGGCCAGATGGACCTTTGGCTTGACTCAGCCTGGTTGCTATTATGTTCTTATGTTCTTAAGGTCTCATCGAGGTGCTTCTCTGCCTCCCTTAGCTCCTCCTATTCAGCAACTCTGGTCTCCAAAGCCTGTACACACTGGCTGCGTCTAGACTGGCAAGATTTTGTGCAAAAGTCGCTGCTTTTGTGCAAAAACTTGCCAGCTGTCTACACTGGCCGCTTGAATTTGCGCAAGAACACTGACTTTGTAACGTACAAAACCAGTGCTTCTTGCACAAATACTTTGACGCTCCCGCTCAGGAAAAAGCCCTCTTGCACAAGTGTTCTTGCACAAAAGGGCCAGTGTAGACAGGGAAGGAATTTTTTGCAGAAGAAAGTCCCGATGGCGAAAATGGCCGCCAGAGCTTTCTTGCGCAAAATCGCGTCTAGACTGGACACGGACGCTTTTGCGCAAAAGCATCCGTGCCCGGAAATACTTTTAACAGAAAAGCTTTTCCGTTAAAAGTATTTCCGCAAAATCATGCCAGTCTAGACGCAGCCACACAGACTCTGGGGCTAGGCGCTCCTTGAATCAAACACATGTGTCACCTCACCATAGGGCAAATAGTCATACGTGGCGTGTGTAGTGACCTGCATAGCCCCACTCTGTTGCTGGACTTCTGCTCAAATTCTCTTTTTACCCCTGCAAGCTGGTTCCTTTATTGGTCTTTTGTTTTTATCAGTGGGTGGGTTTGGCTTTAAATTTAAAAAATGTTAAGTGTATCTAGCACTCCCTCAAACTCCTCCCCCCCCCCCCCACCCTT